CTGGTCCCCGTCGGGCGCAGGGCTGCGCTCACCGGATCCCCTCCAGGGCTGCGGCGGGTGAAGGAGAGACGGGCCGAGGACGGGCACCGCAGCGGGGAAGGCGCCCGAGAGAGACAGGCGAGGCCGGGTTGTCCCGCCGCCCCGTCCCCCCGCTCCCCCGCCCGCTGGCTGGGCCGTGGCGGGAAGCCGCCGGCCCAGGGGCGGGGAGGAGGGCGGAGCCTGTGGCGGGGTGGGGCGCGATCCTGGCGCCGGGGTCCAGGCGGAGGCGGGAAGGGGGCGGTCCGGGCCCCCAGGTTGCGCGGCGGGTGCGCCCTGAGCGCCGGAAGGCCGGGCCGCGCAGACCCCGCCCTCGGGGCAGAAGCGCCTGGGCTTTGAGGTCGGCACACGTGAGGTCAGATGTCAGCTCCAGGCTGGCTTCGCGCTGGCTGTGACTCTGAAACCGGGCGTTCCCTGAGCTCCAAGCTCCTCCCGTCCTTACACTGCCGGCCTGCAGCGGCCCTTTGTGGGAGGTTCTCGGCTGAGGCCTGGTTTACAAAGGAGGAAACGCGTCTGGGCTGACAAACAGCCCGGCCTGAAAGGGAGGCGTGAGGATCCCTTCTTTAAAGGGTGTGTGAAGACAAGCCGTTCCTGAGGCACACATGCCTGGCCTGCAGCGGGGCTCCACCAAATCTGCAGAATTACGGTTTTATTGTGATCATTAATTTTATTATTACGGAAATGGCCAGACGTTGGAAAGTAAAACAGTTAAAATGACCGCGCACACCCATAGGCCAGCTTCAGTCCGGATCTGCATCCTGCCTTTTTTTCCCTTCTGTGTCCCTTCCCACACACGCAGTTTTATCCCCCTGGAGTAATATTACAGCATCCCAGCAGACATATTTCACCTTTAAATATTTGAGTATATTTAAATCAATAAGGTCTGTTTTCTCAAACATTCCCATAAAAACTAGTATCACACCCAATGAAGTGTGCAAAGACCCAGTGCTATTCAGTATTCCCTGATGGGCTCAAAAGTGTCTTGCAGTTGGCTTGTTCTAACCAAGACCTGAAGAGGCAGGAGAGGTTTTGGAGGGAGGGGGCCAGACTTGCTCAGGTTCACAGAGTCAGAAAGTGAGTCTGACCATGGGAAGCCCAAAACAGGTGGGAAAGTCAAGTGCAAATGGACGCCAAATATTTAACAAGACTTAGTAAAACACTGCATTATATAATTTCAACGAGACAGCTTTGCATGTTAAACACAAAGAGATCCTACAGGTTCACAGATACACACATGCACACTCTGTTTTTGCACAGGTGTGAGCCTTCTCAGTCTATATCTGGTTTTGGTACTGCCTGCACACCGGGCTTCAGAGGACCAGCCATCCTCTGGCTCCCCCTGGACTTAGGGGTTATGTCCACTGGTAGCTGGTACCCTGCCCTAAACTTTCTAGACCATGTTCGGCTACCCAGGACTTGGAAATTCCCACTGGCTCTAAGCTCATACTGTTGTCAGGCAGCTGCATCTGGGGAGCTCTCAGTCTGCACCTTACGAGAAACCTCAACCTGGATGGGGATGGGTTCTTGACTCTGAATGAGAAAGAATTCTAGAATTCTTGAGCAGGTTGGAGGAGTGTAGGTAAGGAAGGAATTCATTAAAGTGAGAGTAGCAGGGAATGGCAGCTGCCCTGCAGGCAGCAGAGCGCAAGAAAGAGCAGAGAGGGGAAAGGAAGCTCACTGAACTCCTGCTCTGCACAGGGCAGATTCCCTTGGCAACTCCTACAGCCAGAGTCACCTGACATCCAGTGTCCTCTTGAATCTGCACAGCATGGAAATGGCTAGGATTTTGGGGAGCCCCAGAGCACTGGCTGGAGTGAGACTATGTTTTAAGAACTTCCCAAAGGCAAAGAAAGGAGATTTTTGGGCAGGCTACTAAGGAGCATGATCACACAGCTGCAGTCCTGTCTGGGTCACCCAGGTGACAGGAACTTGCAAGCCGAAATCAGAGATCTCAGTAGACCCCCCAATACTTGACTGAAGTAGAATAGAGACAGAGAGAAGACTAGTGCTCAAGTCTAGAAAACAGAATGAAATAGCGAAGCAACAAAGACACTACTGGAAGAGCACAGAGACAAAACACATAAGTTGAGCAGTGAGAAGTCTTTAAGGCTACAAAACACACTCAAAGACAGGGGAGTGCAGGGAAGCTCAGAAAGGGGGCACATTTAAGGGCTTAGGATTCTTTTAAGGCTTTTAAGAATGGGGCAAAGTGGGGGGGGTGGTAGGCTTGACATGTGGTCTCATGACATCTAATTCCATTGAGAGACATTATGTCACCATCATTATGTCTGTCCTCTAGATATTCTGTAAGATAAACTTAACACAAGGAGTTTCTTGATCCTGTTCTTCTCCAAGGTAGTGGTTACTGTCAAGCACTGGCAGTATATCATTTAAGACTATTTGCCCTGCCTTAGGATAGGTTGTTGACTGATTACCACAAAATATGTTAGGAATCTTACCTCCTAAGTTCCTGGTTTTTAAAATGGAATCTAAGCCTTAAGATGGGGTCCTTCCAGTTCTTGCTATAGTGTTTATATCTCAGCATTTTTCATCATAGGCAGGGAAGCTAATCATGATGCTTGTCCCAGGTCTCTGCCCCACCTGAAGCTCAGCACTCTGGAGAATGGACAGTTTGGGGGACACAGGCTGTGTCTTCTCACAGAGTCATTGGGACCTCCACAGACCCCGAGAATTCCACGTTTGAACCTGGCCTCCCAAGTTACTGTGGAGGCACATTTACAGGGGCCAGAAAGTAGAATGAACTCTATTTGACAGCTTATTGATTTTCTATGCAATTTTAATGTGTTTAAACATGTGTTTGTGGGCCCCCATTTGTACTCTTGCTCTGGGTTCTGTATGTTTTGAGGTGGGCCTGGCTTGTTTCCATACAGTAATGGGCACAAGAAACATTTCATTTCCTTCTTAGTTCTAATGCAAGAAAAATAAACCAGCAAAGGAATCATGATAAATGGCAACTCATGGCTGACCTCACTAGTAGAGAAACCACAGGGAGAACGTAGCACTCCTGCAGAGGGGGCAGCCCCAGCTAAGCTCCGAAGGACAGTCACCATGCCAGTGTTAGAGCAGGCAGGTAGTAGCATATGAGCAGCAGAAAGGAAGGGAGAGGTGGGAGCCGGCAACCTTCCTAAATGGGCTTATACTCATTCTTTGCCTAACATGAGAAGACAAATCCAGAAAATCCCCAAGGCTGATGCCTGCAGAAAGGGCACCAAGACATGTCCGAGAGCCCTTGGCCCATTCACGTGATCATGAGAAATGTCCCCCGGGGGTTTTTCTGCCTCCATTATGAGTTAAGAGCATGTGCAGAACCAGAGCAGTGACATGATCTGAACCTGTTAACCCACCCCTCACACTTACCTGTAAAACCAACAAGTGTTCAGGTAAGTGGGCTGGTCCTGACCGCTCAGTCAGCCTTCTCTCTCTTCAAGAGTGTATTTTTCTCCTTGCTAAATAAAACTGCCTTCTAGCCTTGTCACCCTGCTTCCCATTCCTTGTCTGTGTGCCTGGAAGGAGGGGTGAGAAAGACCACTCCCACCCAATCCCAGGGCGCAGGACCCATTGCCTGGGGCCTGGTAAGTGGCAGGCAGCAGGCAGCAGATCCTGCATACTGGTTCCTGCCCCACTCACTTCCTCACTCACAGGCATTTACAAGTGCCCCGAGCACTGCCTTGGGAATCCAGAGTCTGGGCTGGATTCTAAACCATGAGTAGCTTTTGCAAAAAACTATGCCAAGACTGTAGTTTTTCAATGGAAATTTAAGATACATAGACACAAAAGAAAATTGTAAATGACAAAGTTCCACAAAATGTTAGGAGATATTATGGACTGAAGTGTGTGCCCCCAGAATTAGTAGGATGCACCCCTAACCCCCACTATGACTGTATTTGGAGATAGAGCCTATAAGGAGGCAATAAAGGTTAAATGAGGTCATAAGGGTGGGACCCTGACGGATAGGACTGGTGTCCTGACAGAAGAGGAAGAGACGCGCAAGACGGCTCCCTGTCCTCTCTCCCTCCCTCCCCAGCCCCATCCCACTTCCCATCTCCCATCTCCCACCCTCATCTCCATCTCTCTTTCTCTTCCTCTCTCTGTGCCCACAGAGAAGAGGACCCAGTGAGAAAGTGGTCATCTACAAACCAGGAAAAGAAGCCTCATCAGAAACCAGCCCTGCCAGCACATTGATCTTGGACTTCCAGCCTCCAGAACTGTGAGGACATAAATTCCTGTTGTTTAAGCCACGTCTGTGGTACTGTTACGACAGCCTGAGCAGACTAATGCAGGAGATTAATATTTTCACGTTTAACTGATCTTAGGAACACGGGCCTCAGTTTCCTCCTCCGTGAAGCTGGAGAATGTCAGTGCCAACCTCTAGGACTGAGGACAGCGAGAAGCCATCTAGGCAAAGCCCTCAGTGCAGTGCCTCACCTGCAGCGAGGGTGTAACCAACCATGTTTGCTGCCACAGTGTGGATTGTTACTGTGAAAGCCCTGGCCACACGGATCATGAGTGGAGGGGTGATTCCAGGCACCTGGATAGACCACTGGGGGGAATTTGGGAAACAAGGAGGGCCTGTCAGTTGACATGGGCACCCAGGCCTGACCCTGCCCACGCCCTCCCTCATGTCTGCCCCAGTTCCCTGCTGTCACTGACACCAGTGTCTACCCTGCACTCCTGGCCAGTCCTTGACCCCAGATGGCCTTCTTCAGGGTGGCAGCAGCCCCAGCCCCCGGACTGCCCATCCCTGTGCTGTCACACATCTCAGTGAGGCCAGCCTCCTGCCCAATCCAGGCCCTGCAGGGGTTGCTCTCTGCCATGCCGCCATTAGACTCTGCTTGGGGTTGTCCTTCCTTGGGAAGCATCACACCCACCCCTCAGCCTCCTTTCCCAAATCCCCCAGTACCTCTAAACTATGTAATTGTGCTATATTCAGTTGGATAGTTTTGCTTCTCAGGCTGTGAATTCCTCAAGGGAAGGAGGTGACTTTCTTCATCTCTGGATTCCTAATGCATTGCTGGTATACAGCAAACACTTGCTTTAGCTCCTCACACCAGCAGCCAGGCCACCAGAAATGACCTTGGGATGAGGATTTAAGTGCAAGTTGTGAAAGACTGAGGAAGTGAAACAGGAAAGGAAGGAAGCCAGTTGAGTCTCATTATCAAGCAAGTTACCACAGTGGGTGCCTGGAGCTCAGTTCTGCCCGGACTTCTTGGAGCCTCAGAGATATCTCACCTGGAGGGTGTGCAAATCCCAATGCCCACCTGTGGGTAAAATTGAAGGAT